ATGACCTCGAAAAAACAATGCAAGACCAACCCCGCTGCTCGGCTGAAACACTTGGAATACTGAGCTCTGTAGGATCTTCTATCTGAGGCCAGGTGTTCCCAGGTCAGTGCCCGCATTGCATATGTTGAAGAGCCCGACTATCTGGAGGATGCTGCAGAAGTCGATGCCCCGTCGGTCGACCTGGAACTGCAGGCCAAGAATGCCGAGGGCAAACGAACAAAGAAAAAGAAGGCAGCTGGGAGCGGTGCGACATGGACGCCCTATTGCGTGAAGCCGGTGAAGAGGAAGCCTTGCAATCTCTGGGTGGTTTGGGACAGGATGCAGGACAAGCAGTGTGTGCAGATCCGCCAAGATGCCACGCCCGACGTCGAGACTTTGGTGAGGTCGTGGGTGGATGAGCTCAACGGCGGCAAGCTGGAAGTCAAGGTCGTGGTGGAGCGAGTGAATCAGCTCAAAGCCCAAAAAAACGGCTAGTCTTGCTCAGCTTTCCCGAAGCTCGCATATACAGCATGCCTCGGCCGGTGTGCTAGCACCGCCATGCAGGACAAAACAATTTCGTGCCCTGTGGCAAGTGCGTGTGCAGGACAAAACAATTTCGTGCCCCGTCGCAAGTGCCTATATGCAGTTCATTGGCTGCCATGCGGGAAACATCTTTCACTCCATGTTCTGTGACAGCGGGTCCTTGCAGGCTTTCGTGTGCGCATGGCTTCCTCGGGAAGTTGCACTGCGGCGGAATCTGTCCCAACTCCAGGGCCCGGCACTCAATCACCTGGATAACCTGCGGTGCTAACGCTGACGCTCCGAGATGCATGAGCTTTTGCAACGATCTCCTCGCTGTTGTTGCTCGTAGCAGCCTTTTAAAGAGCACCTCCGCTTTGCTCTATACGGCCCTACATATACATGGACGTGAGACGTCCCGATGCCGCCCGGCTGCAACGGCGCCTGGACTCCTTGAACAATGCGGATCTGACAACCGTGCATGGCTTGTGGGCTTGCAGACTGCCCTGGGTCTTCGGACTGCAAATTAATGTCATGTGTCCTATTATAATGTCATGTGTCCTGCATGATGCATAGGTGTATATGTTCTCTGAGTGCTCCTGACTTTCGACTCTGCCAGGTTCTGGTCGAAGCCACAATGTACGCCTGCCTTTTCCGTGCTCGCCGTCCATCTGCGAAGGACTGAAGGACCCTCCTGCACCTTCTTCTGTATATCTGGCTCGGTCGAATTCCTCATGTTTCTAGCAGTCCCTGGAATAAACTCTCCGCAGGAGCTTCTCGACCCTCTGCATTGCATTGAGTTCTTTGCTGGTGAAAATGGAAGTGCCAAGATCGCAAAGTGCTTCAAACATCTGGGCTGCCTAGTGCAGGCTTTCGACCTCAGTCGCTCCTCGGGTCTGTTGAGTTACAAGACCTATGTATTGTGCTGATGGTAATGCTTCCTGCTCCCCTCGATCTCAGGTTCCGAGACTCATAACCTGGACTCCGCCGAGGGTTTCCTGGCGGGTCTGTTCAGTGTTCTGAGACTGCGACCAGGATCGTTCGTGCACTTCGGGACGGTCTGTACTTCCTTCACATGGATAAACTCCGGCACCCACGGTCGACGGCTCTGGCAACCTCTTGGCAACGAGCATCTGGAATACGTCGCCCTGGGAAGCCGGCTTCTGCAAAGAACCGTTCTGCTGGCCTTGCTGGCTTGGCACATGGGAGCCGTCTTCTCCATCGAAAATCCGCTCGGCTCTTTGATGGCGGAACATCCAGGATTCCAAACCATGCTGCAATACTTGAATCAGAAATCAGGAGGTTGGGATCGTGATGTTTAGTCTTCTCGCTGTCTCCTTAGCCTCAGACTCGTCCACCCTGCAAGGTCTTTGGAGGGGAAGTGTTCCACTCGGACACTTCGGCGCTGCAAGCCTCAAGCGGGTTTGGATATACAGCTGCTGCTATGGTTTGGTGGAACACTTGATGAACATAACTGTGTGTGATGACAACAAAAAGAAGGAGTCCGCCAATGAGCCCGTCACGTACCGGCCGTCTGTCAAACTTAAGTTTCCTTTGTCTCTGCAGACAGCTCCATGATTTCCCAAGTTGTTTTGGATCTGCTGAGGATACAGAACAAGGAGACCGGCAAAGTTTCCGTCCAAGGCGGTCCGGGACTGAAAGCTACACAATGCTATCCCACGAGGCCAGACATGATGCTCCAAACAAAGCAGGACACAATGCACTCTTTAATACTTCACTCTTGCACTCTCTCCAGGTTTGCCAAAGCCATCGCCCACTGGTGGTCTCGGAATCACCGAGCCCTTCGCTCCGAGGGTCTTCAACGAAGGCTT